TGAGATTTGATGATTTTGAAGGTCTTTGAATACAGATTTCTATTTAAATTTGTGAGATTTCCATTGAGATTTGATGATTTTGAAGGTCTTTGAATGCAAATGTCTATTATTTTTTGAGATTTCCATTGAGATTTGAGAGATTTGATGCTTTTAAGTAATGAGTCCTTTCATTTTTAATATTGCCAGAGATAGCTAAGTAATGATTCCTTTTATTTTAATATTGCCAGAGTAGCTTCAGAGGTAGCTAGCTAAGGATTCCTTATTTATTTATCAATTGATTGGTTTTCTAGCACATTGTTCTGGAGTCTCAAGAGTTGAGGGGGGGGGGGGGAGGGGGGGGGTTGATTAATCAAGAGACCACATTAGGTAGAAAAGGAAAATATCCTAAGTATATATAGATATAAATATATATTGGGATAAGATTCTCGTTTTAAGTAGGGATCGCCACAGGGTGATTGGTGATTGTTGTGACAGGGCCTTCTTCCTGAGAAAAGAAGCCCGTTGGTCCTGCCCCAGGCAGCTTTTGGATGGAGTGTATGGCTCCTCTCTCCCAGCTGATGCCTTCTTGCGACATGCCGCCCGGAGGACGGAGTATGACAGAGTAGCAGAATGCATCAGGAACTGCACTCCACCTGCTGCATCAGGAACTTAGAAGCTTCCCTAGAAAAGCTGCAGAAGGATGGCTTAGCCAGACGGCTCTCTGCGCACACATGGGGCATGGCAAGGAAGACGAGCAGCTCGCAGCAATGTGCTTGTAGGTGTTTCCCCGTCTACAATGTATGCAAATGAGTCAAGTAAGCAATTCTCGAAGTGTGCAGAAAGCAGCTCCTTCACCAAGGTACGAATGCTGGGGATAAACTCCAAGACCGACAGAAGGCCACAGATTGTGCAGAGCCATAGTAGAGGCTGATCGAACAGAGCAAAACCCACATGACTAATGTCACTTCAGAACAATATGGGCCATGGGACTATTCCGGTTGGACGGTATGAGCGTAAGAAATATTTTGTATTATAATATATCCTATTGCTACTGGGCCCTTTTCAACTACGCATTTCAACATAGACCCAATCTCCAAAACTACCCCTGAGGGCAAAGGTTGCAGCATTCGTTGACAAAGCACCTGCTCCAGCTTGGAGGTGAGAATGGCATTTCATGCAAGAGCCCATAGACACACAAATATTCCCTTGTTGCAGGCCTCAAATGGCTATGCACGGGAGGGTGAGCTGCGAGGTGGGTTGTAAGAGGAGTCATGGTAAGCCTGTTAGCTCGGTTGCCAACTGGTTAAGCTCAGGAGTTCTCCAGAGGGCTCGGCCACAATGGAGCACCAAAGATTTGGCGGCCGCAGAGGCACGATTATGTTTAGTTATTGAGGACATGGACCCATCAGTAGGAATTTATTTATGTTTATTTCCTGGGCTGCAATTTTGCCGCTGCATGGCTGCATGATTAGTTAACATTCTGCATTCTGTGGGCACGAGGCCAAGTTGCTGTCGATCGGCATTTGCACCGCCGAGAAGCTTGCAGAGCAGTTGGCAGCATCGGTGCTCAATGACAATCTCCGCATCTCGGACCAAAATTAACAGACGGACGGCCTCAGACAGCTGACTCGTTGGTTCTTTTTGCGCGGTTTGTTTGTTGCTCTCACCAGCGAATCAGGTGGATAATATTGATTGTAGCAGTAGCATTCTCCCCCCCTGGCCAGGCCACTTTGCCTTCTGAGAGTTAGTCACGAGTTATGGGGTATAAATATAAATCTGCAATAAGTCATTGAGGATGAAGGGACTTTCAGATCTCTTAGTGACTGAGGAAGTGGTGGATTTCGGGCTTTTGCTGCCGAAACTCTTCAAGCACTTCGTGAGGCCTCGTCGTCATTCCGATGTCGTCGTGGCGTCCACCCGACCCAGGCAGTGCCGGAGAGTGAAACGGTCGACTGAGAGGGCAACGAAAAAAGGATCCGGACAGCGCGAATCGATGCCTCGCCGCGTCAGCAGGCGCTGTTTTTCCTCGGCGCGACAGGGAAACCCCTTTGACGGCTCAGGGTGAGACAGTGAGATCGTCTCAACAAGACAAAACAAGGCAAAACAAAGGAGGGGTGGAGGTGTCAGCCTCAGCATTTGTATACTTTCGTTCTACATTCCATGGCAAGTGCAAGCCCTGAAGCTATGTGCTGTCCTAGCTTGATTGAGGGCCTGCCTGATCTCGAGCTTTCGCTTGCCTGTGGGCCGCATGAAACCTGCCAGCTGGTGTTGCCCAAGCTCATTGCTGGGAGTTTTCCTGGCGATCGATCTGAGCCAGAGCACACGGCAAAAGTGCAAAAGCTGATCGCTGCGGGGGTAGATACCTTCCTTTGTCTACAGGAACGTGCGGAGTTGAAGCGCTTCACACCGTATATGCAGATTGCACGGTTGGCACACGAGGCATCTCACAGGAAAAGTGAGGTTGAGTTTTTTCACTGCCCCATACCTGACTTGGGTGTGACCGCAGATGAAGAGCTCCTGAAGGCCATACGGACTGTTGTGGCCAAGCTGCTGGAGGGGCGTGCTGTATACATACATTGCTGGGGTGGCCACGGCCGAACTGGTACAGTGATTTGTGCTTTCCTTGTGTTGTGCTATGGCCTCAGCCCTGAACAAGCCCAAGACTTCTACAATGTGGGAGAGAAGCGTCGGAAGTCTCGTGCTGGGGTTTGGCCTCACTCTTCCACACAGACTCATGGCTCATGGTGATAAAAAGAGAAGCATGTTAGTCCAATGAATATATATATATGTAAAGCTGTGTCCATGTCTCTGAAACGTACAGGCTCAACTCACCTAGCCAGCAGGTGGAAAAGAGCGCGAGTTTAGTTCGCTTCCACGTTTTCATGGTAGCGGAGCCGACCCGGGGGGGCTCAATAAACATACCCCGGGAGAGGAAAGAAGATCCAGGGAAGGAAGAAGGAAAGTGAAAGAAAAGTAGAGAAGAAAGGAAAATGGATGAGGAGGTGGCGAAAGCCTTGGTGGCTGCATCACAGCAGTCTGCAGCTATGGCGAAAGAAGGCCGGTGAAGGCTTTGCAACCGCCAGCAAAGTTGTGAGACCGCCAGAGCCATTTGAGCCGAAGAATATGGAAGAGGAGATTTCACAGTGGCAGGATTGGCGGCTGACTTTCGAGAGCTGGATTGTGTGTGCAGAGGACGCCTACAACAAAGAGATCGAGGCCATAGAAGGGTCAGATAAGGAGGTGAAGCTGGCAAGCATGACCAAAGATGAACAGGCCAGGTCAGAGAAGCTCTGTGCCATTTTGGTTGGACTCCTGCGGAATCGGCCATTGAAGCTGCTGAGGGCAGTGGAAGGCCGCAATGGCTATGAGGTGTGGCCACACAGTTGGCTCCGAAGACGAGGCCCCGGTCGATCGCATTGCTCCAGGCCTTACTTCACGAAGGAGAAAGGTATGACCATGCTGGAGGCTGGCGGAAGAGTATGCCAAGGTGGCCACGAGGACACCAGCGATAATACCAAGCTGAGTGTCTTGCTGCGGGTGATGCCGGCAGCAGTGAGGCAGCATCTACAGCTACAGATGACAGAAGACACAAGTTACAAAGAGGCCGGAGAGAAGATGTTGGCCTACGAAAGGACTACGACCTCATGAGGGAGCCAGGCGATCTACAAAGAACTGGCCATCACCAAGGACCACGACAAGAATGATGAGGTGATCCCCATGGATGTCGACAGAGTGAAAGGCAAAGAGAAGGGAAAAGGGAAAGGAAAAGACAAAGGCGGCAAGTCCAAAGGCAAGCAGAAGGGGAAAGGCTATGGCAGTTATGCCAACACAGACTACAAGGGCAAGGGCAAGCAGCAGAAAGGAAAGGATGGCAAGGGCAAGGACACCAAAGGGAAGGGCAAAGGTGTATCCCAAGACACCTGCAAGCTCTGTGGCGGCAAGGGCCATTGGAGCAGAGAATGCCCCATGAGAACACTGAGGCAAGTCAGTGAGGTAGCTTCCACGGTGACTGCATCTGTGGGAGACAGTGCAAGTGTTGCCCAGGCTTCAACAGCCACGCCATCAACAAGCTCGAAGAATGTGAGAAGGATCGACACGGTGATCCTGGATGAGGATGAGGAAGACAGTGCCATCGAGTATGTCAGGATGGTGGGGACAGAGACTTACCTACAGCGACAATGATGAAGATTGGAACATGTTTAAGGATCCAAGTGAGAGCCAATGTGAACTACTTCATGGGCTATGAGGACTTGGTTGATGAGGGAGGCTCAAGGCCCCCAAAGAAAGGAGGAAACAAAGTGAGCTTTGTTCGCTGGAGGAGAAGGGACGATGGTGATCCTCGACTCAGGAGCTGATATCTCGGTGCTTCCTATGAGCTCCCGCTGGAGTGGGTGACCTCTTTAAAAGATGCTCAAGGAGGAAAGATGACAAATGGTGGCATGCGCCAGGGCATGATGGAGCTTGAGGATGAAGAAGGCCGTTGGTCGAGTTGAGGGAAAGCTTTGCCCTGTCCAACGTCAAGGAACCCCTCCTTGCATTGGGCAAGTTGCCGAGAAGAGGTTGGAAGATAGAAGGAGAAGGAGGTGATGCCCGCTTGACACATGGACTGTTTGTTCAGCAAGAGTTTGCAGTTCAGGCACAATTCATTGGCGGTGGACGCGAAAATTCGAAAGGTTGGGACAGTAGAGGACCAGCCTGTGGAGGAGAATAAGGTGAGAGCAGTAACCAAGGAGTTCCACGGGTTGCTGAAGTCATTGTTGGACGTAGCTGGATGGCACCTCACAGGTGACACGCTGAGCACAAAGTTCTACAAAGACTCATTTCCGCATTTCAACAGAGTTGATTTTCCTTATAGGTCAACTGTCATGTTGAGGTCAGGACTTTGGGAATTGGTCGAGATGGCTGAACAGAAGCAAGATGAAGACGAGATCGAGGAGTGTGAAGGTGAAGAACTGACGACGGTGAGTTTCTTCCATCAGACGGTGGATGACTTTGCGGCATTGGGAGTGATGGTGCCAGCGTTGCATCGCTGGACGAGGACGTGATGAGCGACAAGCACGCATCACGACAGGAGGCTAAAGCAGAGATGCCCGTGATCTCAATGGACTTCTGTTTCAGCCGGGGCGACGAAGAAGTGGACGTTGAAGTGAAACAGGACCTGCGAATTTACCAAGGTGATCTGTACAGTGTGTGTGCCGACTCCAGGGAAAGGCAGGGCCCACTTGAAGTTCATGGCTGAGCAGGTGATGCGGTTCATTGGGAGTTTGGGGTACTCAAGAGTGAGGAAGGTGGAGAACCTTCAATGAGGATGTTGTTGGAGGTGTTGCAACAAGCAAGATTGAGGTTGGGCTTCCACACGAACATCGAGATCAGTGGCCCAGCTGATTCACAGGCAAATGGCAGAGTGGAGAGAGAGATCCAAACAGTGCGAGGCGTGGCAAGGACATTGGTTCACGGTGTGAAGGTTCACGGTGTGAAGGAAGGTTGTCAGATGCACATCAAACCATCTTCACCAGTGTTCCTATGGGCTATGCGCCATGCTGGATGGTTGTTGACGCACTACAGGCGACAAGGAGGTGGACCAACAGCCTACAAGACAAGGACAGGAAGAAAGTATTGTGGCAAGGTTGCAGTCTTTGGAGAGCGTGTTTTGGCCAGAGTGATTAAGAGGGCCAATGGAAGTGACAAGTTCGAACCTGGTTTGTGGCTAGGGAAGACGGATCGTGCAGATTTCCACATGGTAGCCACAGCATCAGGCTTGAAGTGGACGAGAACCATCCCTTTTGACCCGGAGGCCGTGACTTATGTGAAGTTCTGGCCTGGGTTTGGGCAGATTGGTGCCAAAGCTTCGTCATTGGTGGGTAAGTTTCCTACTGCCCCATTGCCCCCAGCACTCGCCCCAGATGACACATTGCTGCAGGGCCTGCTTGATAGCTTGCAGGAGCCCACTGTCGAGAGCGAGGTTGACAAGGCGCCAGCAAGTCCAAGTAGTCCAAAGAGGTCAGGGGGAGAAGGTGATGTGGAAGATGAGATGCCAAAGAAAATGGCAAAGTCTGCACCGAAGAAGATGTTGAAGACGAGAGCATCAAGTTCAGAGAAGGATGAACCTGAACCAGCATCAGCTTCGACGATTCGCATGGTGGTTGCTGGAGAATCTGGAGAACTGTTGCCAGATGGAGATGGGAGCTTAGAGTTCCCAGATCAACCTCCAGAGTTGACAGAGGCTGAGCTTGCAGAGGTTGAAGATGAAGCCACAAAGGAGGAGATTCAGCTGATTGGCATGACGGTCTTGGTGCCACCTGGAAGGGGCGACGATTTGGAGGACATCCCATTGCTGATAACAAAGTTGGTGATGGATGGCAGTGGCGAGACCACAAGTGGAAGAGGAGAGCAAGACTGGTTGCGCGCGATTTTGCGTGGTGCGACCCAAACAGGACAGATGCCTTTGCACCAGCAGGAGGACACTCCCTCCTGAGGTTTGCCCCAGCGATCTGCCAGGTCAAAGGCTGGAAGATGATCACGATGGATGTCAAAGACGCATACTTGATGTGTGCGCAGCCAAAGAAGGTGAAGGTAAGGACGAATCCTTCCAGGACAGCGACAAAAAGCAGCTCAGTGGTTCCAAGAGCTGAGGGGGAGCCTAAGTGAGGCAGGGCTCACGCCACGTGCTGAAGCACCCACCTTGTGGAGAGGTCAGGATGTGATTCCGCTGGTCCATGTCGATGACATGATTGTTGGAGGAGAAGAGAAGGAAGTGGCACACCTGACTGGAGGATGACCAGGTGTTGAGCTTCTTGAAGAGGACTTTGATGGATGATGGTGAATGAGAAGTACATCCACAACCTTGTGAAGATGATGAGTCCGGTGAAGAAGTCGAAGACACCTGCTGTACATGGCAGGTGACAGGCCAGACATTCAGTTCCACGTACTCCAAAGCCCAACAGAAGGTGCTTGGAAGGCGAGAAGCTCGTCTGCTACCTCGCAACGACCATGGAGGTGCATTTGGGGATGAGGAGCCAGACCAAGAGCAACTCGTTCAGGAACAGAGCAAGAGGCCTGACGACAGCACCCATGTTTGAGGAGGCTGAAGGAGTGTGGCTTTTGGAAGTGACCTGCGAATCAGACTGGTCAGGGAACAGGTTGACGAGAAAACATCGGCAGGATGCATTTTCCTTGCGGGCAATTGGATTCATTCCTATGCCAGGACTCAGAAGAACAGCACTTTGTCAAGCACAGAAGCTGAGTATGTTGCATTGGTGTCAGGAGCTTCAGAAGGTCTGTTGTTGAAAGCTGCAATTGAGCATTTGACAGGCGAGCCGGTGAAGTTGGTAGTCTATGGTGACAACAGCTCAAGCCTAGCCACCGCCCAGAACAAGGGTGTTGGAAAGTTGAAGCATTTGAGCGGGCGGTTGCTATGGCTCCAACAGCGGCAAGGCAGAGACTTAGACCTGAGAAAGCTTGACACGATGACGAACCCTGCAGACATTGGGACGAAGGCACTTGGAGGAAAGCGAGTGCACATGCTGCTGTTCATGATGGGTTTTACAGACAACTCAGGAGAGCTTGGCAAGGAGGAGTTTGAAGCCGAGAGGATGAAGCAAGACCAGAAGAAGAGGCTGCAAGAAGTGAGAAGGATGGTGTTTGTTGAAGAAGGCGCACCAGAGAAGAGCACAGTCAAATCAGCTTGCAAAGAGATTGTTGAGGCTCACGATGACAGCATGGCTAGCAGATTCAGCCTTGAGGCAGAGAAGGGTGAGCAATGTTTTCCAGAAGACGAGCCGCAACAGCAGTCAGAGGGATTGCTTGGGAGAAAAGTGACAGGAAGTGAGAGGTTAGAACAAGTTGTGATGGGATTGACAATCGCCATTGTGATTTTGAGCATTGCAATCCTGATCTTGCTGAAAGCATTGAAGAAAACAGAAAGAGGGCTGAGGAGACATGTGACTTCTTGGGACGCCTTGAGAAGTGCAGTTGGAGAAGGGGAAAACTACACCTCAGATGAAGATCAAGGACGAACTGATCTGAGCATGTGGAACGCGCCTCGGAGGTGGCCGGAGAACCAACAAAGCACAGAATGGCAAAATTGGTCGAATTGGCCACCAGGTCATAGGAGAACGATGAGACAGATGAGGAGCCCGAAGGAAGACAATGGGTTCAATGGGCAGGCGACTCTGGATTAAGTTTCAGAATGTTTCAGAGATGTAGTCGGCCCACCTTGGAGTGAAGAGATGGAAGAAGAAGCAGAAGAACAAGATGGAGAAGTGAGGGTAAGTTCCTACATCGATGATGAGGGCTATGTGCATGAGACACAGGTACATGTGAGAATGGTGAGGATAGAAGCAGAAGAAGAGAGGAGAGAAAGAGAAGAGGACGAAGAGTCAGAAAACAGTCTGACAACAGGCTATGGAAGTCTGGAAGGACACATTGAACCAGAGGCCGAGTACGAGCATTTGGACGGCAATGCCTTCAGGAGTACAGGCTGGAACAAATTGAGAATGACGTAGGCATCGAAGTCTACATCATCATGAAGGTGAGGCAATTTCGCCAGATGATGGAGGAAGATCCATCAGGTGAAGACATCCTGACGGGATACGAGATGTTCAAAAAACTCCAGAGGATGCCGATGATCACTGGAGCAGAGACACGAAAGGAGGTGACTGACTACATCAGAAGCTTGAGGCAGTACACCTACCACATCAAGAAAGGGCATGAAGATGTCAATTTCCCAATAGAAGAAAGCGAATGGCCAGATGGATGGATGGCTGCAAATTGGGGACCACCAAGAATGAAGAATGCTGAGAGAATTCAAGATGCCACCAAGAAGACAATCAAGGCGAGGAAGCAGTAGCAGTAGCTCTGAAGAGCATAATGCCACAGCTGCATTGGAGCTACATGACCGTCGTCATGACGAGGGAATAACCATGGATGAACCCGAGCCTGAAATCGAGTAAGTGCATTCCAAAGAATGAACACCGAAGTCATTTTCATGGCGAGGGAACCCATGAAGCTTTAGCCCACGCCACGAAAAAGGCAGGGTGTAAAGCTGTGTCCATGTCAGTTGATGACTGAAACGTACAGGCTCAACTCACCTAGCCAGAAGGTGGAGCCCAGCGCTAGTTTAGTTCGCTTCCACGTTTTCAATATATGTATAAAATATACTGTGTAAGAAGTTGTGTAAGACATTGTAAGACATACATAATTGAGTTGATCTAAAGGGGCTCATAAGGGCAGGGGGTTTACAGCATATGACGTTTTAGATGGTGTCCAAACCATCCGCAAAAGATCCGCGATGAGGTTCGCGAAAGTACAACGAAAGTACACTATTGTCACGAAAGGGATATTGAAGGTCATTATGTATTTTTGCCCAGTCTACCGGCAGAAAGCCTGCCACTCTCACAGACTAACAAAATGAAGCCTCCACGGTTCCTCGTTCAGCCCTCACAGCGCGTAGTCAAGGATATCCAATGCCATTCCCCACTGTCACAGACTATCAAACTGAGAACTCAGAACTCAGCATGTCTTTATGCATCCCTGACCGTGCCCCAAGTTAACCAACTCACAAACTGCAACGGCAATCACGGTTGCACGGCCCTCAGTGACAGGTTGTGTAGATGTTCGGGGGAAATCACCAGTGAATTGTCGCGGAAGATCCGTGCCGTTCAAGTCCTGGATCCAAACTTGACCCCACCCCAATTCCTCGAGCTGCTTTACGTTATGCTGGTAGCTGGCACGAAGGTTAGGTTGAATTGCGTTGTGCATGACCTTATTCTAAGCCTTTGCCAGGATATATGTTCCTCAAGGTTTGTCGCGCAGATGTTGCAAGTGACAGAGTAGCGGTAAGTGTAGCAACTATCAACTATCAACTAACTTTGTGTGCAGGTCATGCTGCACGATGTCACTCACTAGTTTGTGCTGTTTGTTCCTACAGTTCAATTACACCTTAATAAACAAAAAATGGTTTTAGGACAATGTTTCGCGATTAGGCTGCAGGGAAATGCAATTCCATCATGAAAGACTATTGATCAAGCGCCATATGTTTAGCAAAATTGGAACCCATTGCAAGTGACCAGCTTAGGCCTAATTGAATGGCTCGCCTGTTTCTAGAGACCTGAACCCCGTCAGGATATGTGTTCAGTGACTCAGTGACCAGCTTTGATTGTTTGGTTGCTAGTCGTGCCAATCAGGAGAGAACAGGTGGAGCGCCTGAGCAAGTATGGCACAACCGGAGTGCCTGATGGCACAATTCTACCGCCTTTGGAGGACTGGACCATTCGGCCACGGGAACTTGGAGGAGCCAGCAGCTGGGGGACAGTTCAAAAGGTCTTGGGGACCGTTAAGACCAGGTCTTGCTGGTCTTGCGTTGAGAAACAGCCGCTTAGGTAGGTAGGTGTGTGTGCGTGTGTGTAGGGACTCTGCACACGCGAAGTTCACATAAATCCACCAAATGATAATGAAGGCGCAAAAATGGGGTACCTGAAGGAACTAGAAGTTGGGAAGAAGTTCTGAAGCGGTGTCACACTGGGGCAGCATGAATGTTGAGGAGCTGGGTGTTGCGGCTGGGCAGGCTAGATGTACAATCTGAATTTGGGATGTTCGAGCGAGCTTGGATGGTTCAGAATCACGCTGGAGCTCATCAAGCATTTGCCTGCCCAACATTTTGGTTCCATCCATCCCCTAAGTCAGCGTGAAAGTCGATCAACTTTGATTTGCCAAAATGCCTTTCTAGTTGCGGAGCACTAAGCCACTAAGTGGCATCAACTGCTTGGCTTGCTGGCAGAGAATCCGTCGAAGTGGATCGTTTGAGTGAGGTTTGCCCTGTCACGACTTTGAAGCAGATCCAGATTGGCCACTGGCAGCCAGAAAGTTTGTGTCATTTCAGTCTCGAGGAAAGAGCGTGATGGTATTTAGCTCAGCTTTGGTGTGCCAAAGGCCCTTTCTTGCTGAAAAACACTGGTCACCCTGTGGCGTGCCAAGGGGTTTGCTTGGCATAGCCATCTTGTTTGTAAAGCATAGGTGTGCAAGCGATTGCAGGCATTATGAGCGATTGTTCTTGGCAGCGATGCCTTACCTGGCTCCAAAACTTGGAGCTTCTCCCAGCCGAAGTCAAGGCGCAAAGAAGGCTGAGACCACAGGTCATGCCAGGCGCAAAACGGAGCCATGCGACAGATCATGCCATGTGTTTGTTGACATCTCATTCTGCCAACAGTGGATGAAGAGAACGAAGAGAACGATGTTCTCCTTGTTCTCGTCGCCCTCTTTTGGCTGAAGGCGAAGTCCATGAGAACTTGTACAATCAGCGCATGAGAGCTTGCGTTCTGTTTGCGTCAGTGCAGCCGAGACGATCAGCATCAGACAAGCTAGAAAGGCTCTTCTACTAGTTGGTTAGCTGGTTCCTGCGCCGGGGTGCTGTGAACTGGTACGTGCAGTCACCTTGATCGTACTCGAAATCATGCACTTGCAACGGCCAGAACTTAGATGTTGCAGCTTCGAAGCTCAAGACAGCAGAGATGATGGCGGAGATAATGGGCTCCTTGCCGATGGGTGTTGCCACCATTGTTCTGGACTTCGCAGCCACAGAAACCATGCTGTTCCTGCGAGAGCTCAGTCAGCCATTCAAGAGAGCTAGTGAAGCTTTGTCCGGACCTAGTTCCATGTTCAGGTGTAGAGCGGGACCCCAGATGTGGATTGAATGCAATATACTAATATGAGGGCGTTCGGAAAGAAATGTTGTGTCTACTAGTCAGTCCACCTTTTCTTGATATCATTCCTGTGGGTGCTAAGTTGCATTAGTGGGTGTGAGGGATTGGGGCAGCTTGGGCTGATGGGCAGTGCAGAACCCTAACACTGTGGAACCCTAACCGGACGGCTGCCTGGGTGGGGTGTGTGGTCGTTCGGTTGGGTGTTGGCGGCATCATCCCCTTGACAGGCCGGTGGCCATGCTGCTTGCATTGACTTGCTAAGGCTGCTTTCATGAGGAGCTTTCTGGCGGTCATTTGATGGAACAATATGAAGACATATGCTTTGCAAAGTCCAATTTGCTCATTACCTCAACATGTGACCTTAAAGCTGGCGCTTATGCTTGAGAAGGGGCAAAAACCAGTCCAGATTAAATCTGGACTGCCGCAATGTTTCGAAGAAAGACACGTCTAGCCGGGCCGGATTTGCCTTTGGCGTATCTTGTCCTGAGCGCTAAGAGTTCAAAACACAACCATGTCGCAAAATTGGTGGAGTTGTGCAGCATGATCCAGTGTGAATATCTCCGAACTTACAGATGCAAAGCGGGCCTTGTTCTACTTACCTTCGGGCAAAAGCCATGGCTCCTGGAGAGGGGCAGGTGCATTCAAAGTTTTCTTGGCAAAGTCACGTGGACCTGCGGATGAGTTTGTCCCGCAAGGGTTTCACCCTTTTGTAACTGCAGCTAGAACATTTGGTGACAGAAACCGGATGAACTTGTTCATGTGGCCAACGCACCCGGCATCCTGGCACACTGGGTCCTCCTGAAATGCCAGCCTCGTGCGTGCGTGCCCATCCTTTTTTCATTTCAGAAAGTGTGCGCTATATGCCGCTATGCCAGTTTCACACCTGGTGTTCTTCCATGTTATTTTTTGGCGCCCATGTGAATGCAATGTGTGTGTGTGTTTTTCTTGACGGGTCATGACAGGTTTTGAACCCTACAACTTGCAATGTTGTGTCTTAATATGTTCTAATTCTATGCATCCATTTTGTTGATGACGCGTGCGTGCAGTGTTTTTTCCGAAGACAAAGGCCGAAGTACTCAAGTAGTCATGAGATTGTCCCGGCAAGAGGGGTAAGGGTGCACGAGGAATCATATATTTCCAGGAATTTGTTTGGGCAGTCTTTGTGATGCGCTCGGGGCCAATTGCTTGGAGCCCAAGAAACAGTGATAGATTGCCAGACTCCAAGCTGTGCAAGGATTGGAGCATGTTGATGGTTTGTTGAAATTAAATTAGAGCAACAATTACTACATTGCATGCAGGACCACAGCTGACACCCACAGGGCGTTTGTGTGCGTAGATGAATTGCAGCAGACCATCCAATTTGTACCACCAATCTTTTCGGATTGTTTCCGCAGCAGAATCAATAAACTTTTGTGAATGCAGTGTGGGTTTCTCAATATTGCTGCAAACTCCGAGTCATTTATATCGGAATTGTGTACGCATGCGAACACCTTCAAACTTATAGTTCACATAATGAGGCCTTTGATGTCTACGGGAATTATGCCGTTTTACAACCACGCCAGCAGCACTTGGTTTGAATCGATTTTCTTCCTGAACTGCTCGTGCTGAAGTTTCGCTGCGTCGAATGAAGCGTTTCCTGTGGCTAAGGAGGGCTGCTGCTTCAACAGCACTTTCCGCTTAGAGAATCTTCTCCAGAGAGCCCATCATCTCGTTGAGGTCACCCCAACTTTGGCTGACGACGCGGAGCTGGCAGAGCTCTCCTCACACTTTACCAAAGAATCGGGGCGTTGTTTGGCCTTCAGCCGGAAAAGCACAAACTTGCTCAATGCCTTGTCTCAACTCCGCGCGGTTGATTGCCTCATGAGGGTCCGCCTCAAGTGGAACAGCATTGACACAGCTGAGAAAGTTGACAAGTACCTTGACAGCCGTCTCTGTCGAACTAAGGGCTTCTGGAACAGTGGGCCGGGAAGAGACGTTTACTCTGATTCTTGGCTATGGCATGCTATGGCTGAGTCGATTCCTTTCCACGATAGATTTTGGATGATTTTGGTTGGGTGAAAAGTACTGGACATTTTTCTGATTCCTGTGGTTTGTTTGAAAAAGGGGGTGTTGGTGACCACATGTGAGAGACGTCAACCAGGCATCCTTGAGAAGTTTAATTGTTTGATCCTTGCATTGCATACACACTTGCCATGGCGTAGCCAGCCTCGCACTTGTCAGACCATGTCAACGCATTCCTTGATGCCCTTATCAAGGAAACAGAGAAAGCGACTTTGCCTGCATTGTTCTCGGCCTGCCGCTGGCTGCTTCGTGGCCTCGTAACAGCACCAGCACCAAGAGCTATTTGCTTCTACCACGCCCTTCGGCGAAGGTTTTGCAGGTCGTCACAGTGTTTGGTGCTTCCGCCTTTCGTTGTCGTGTCGATGGTACCGCGGATCTCCCATCGACGAATTCCATCAATCGTGTCATTTTAATGGCATCCCCGGTTAGAGTACATGAGGCCTTCGTGGACACAATGGGAGCTGATGGCATGGGAGCGGATGGCCTACCCATACAGATTCCGCTGTTGTGCTGGGAGCCTGCCCCGAATTAATTTTGCTTTGCTAGGGCCATAATTAGGGGATAAGGAGACAATCCCAGTTGGGGGCGAAGAGACGCCAGTTGATCGACTTCCTTGGAAGCAAGAAGACTATTATATATAATATATATATATTTATTTATTTAATACATTATATATATATATCGTTGATCCCCACTGCGTTGCGTAATGATTAGTCTCTGAAAACACATGAGTTTGCTTCCCTTGACTCTTGTCCTCCTGGCCTCCCATTGGCCCATTTTGCTAAAGTGTTTGCATGTTTCCAAAACGGCAACTTTGCCCGGATAAACCCAAACACATTTCCTTTGAAGCATGATGATGACGATGGGAGAACTGTGTTGCATGAAGATGGGCAAACAGCCAATTTGCAGAGCTCAAAGCGAGCTCCAGATTGTGATTCGAGCAGTTCCCCGCGACCTTTCAGGGCGAATTCATCCTGGCTCGGGAGATGCTCACAGACTCAGTGGAGTGATAAACAAGGTGACCACTGAGGTGTCTGGAGTGCACAGAAGCTGGTGCTAGACTCCTGCTAGACATACATCAGTGTGATTCGCTGATCGTGTGATATGTTGTGCATTCATATCCTTTGCTAAGTTGCAGTTGTTGGGCATAGCCCTGGGCGGTCTTTGCTTTAAAACCAAGCACCGGTTTTTGCTGCTTCCAGCTTGGTCAGGGCTGCAACAGTCCGACTTTTTTGCTTCTGCAACTTTTGCAGGAGTGAGTGGAGAGGAAGAACCCCCCTTGTTTTTCTCCACCTTTGGAGCCTGTTCATGTTCGTTGCAGCAGCAACTGCTGTCAACGAATCGAAGACCTCAACCGCATGTGCGATTAAAAGACATCAATCAGGACGGTGCTTTTGTTCAGAACATTTTGTGGCTGACGGACTACGCTCAGAGGATGGAGCCACCAGATCCTTCAAGATCAATTCCTGTCTACATCAAAATAGAAGGCCATCACTCGCAGTACAAAGGCTCAATTGCAATGAGCACGAACATCAAGCGGGCCACCTCACTACTGGAGAGCTGCAATGCGGACCGACTGGAGCTGGACCAGGCCTGAGCTTTAATCAAAGAACATGGTCATAGTGATTCATACTGCCTGCCCCTCTTCGGTACAGTGCATAGATATAGTCTTAAAGGTTGTGTTGAAACGCGACGACAACAACAACACCTCAGGGCCTGTCTTTAGCGGAATGGAAAAGTGTTGTTGGATGTTTTTATTGTTTCTCTTGCAAGTTCTTTTTTTATAGGTTGGTTTCTTCCGTGGTTTTGGATTGTGTGGCTTTAGTGTTTTTTTTGTTGATATTTCTTGGTGCATGTTCTACTGCGGCTTGGGGCTTTGGCTTTGTTTGTTGCAGGTTGAACCTTCTTTTTAGCTTGCTTTCAGCGTTCCACTGGAAACGTTTGGCTAACCCAAAGTGGAATCATGGACACATATTGCACACATGGCCACATACATAGGTGTTAAAACCCCAGCAACACCAATCTCTTAAAACATATCCAAACAATGTTAAAGTAGAATAAGAAACCAAAAGAGGTAAAAGTAACATTCACCAAAGCAACCGCTTGAGCGAAACATTTGTTCCACAAAGTTTTTCAATGCAAACGCAGACATGTCGGAAGGTGCGCTGCACTGTGGCATTGTCCGAATGCCGCAGGGCCACAGCCTGGCAGTTGGCCACCGAGCTATTGGCTCGGCTGAGCCTTCTGCGTTTGATGCCCGATGCCGTCACCTGTGGTGCTGCTGTGAGCTGCCTGGCGCGAGCGGCGCAATGGGAAGGAGCTTTAGAAGTCTTGAAATCTGCACGGCAGCAACAAGTCCAGATTCTCACTTTGAGCTTAGTATGAGAAGTGTGTTGGTATGTGCTGGTCGAGTTTCGTCAAAGTTAGTTGCATGTCATTTCTGCAATTGTTGTCTCCACCACTCTGGTGTCAGTTTTTTGGGGCGAACGGGAGAGTAAGGGCAATACTGTTCTGCACCAGGGGTTCAAAAGGGAATAGCTCCAGTTTATCACAGTCACCTCCAGTTTAAGACTGTGTTTTAGCTGGAGATATCATGAGGAGGGCTAAGCATCGGCAGAGATTGGCCATGGGCAACTGAAAAACCTTGGCTTTGTCAGGCACAATCTCATTATGTGCAATGCAGCAATGAACGCATGTGAAAGAGGCAGCAGCTGGTGCACAGCCTCGCTGCTTCTAAGAGAGATGAAGCATGAAAAGCTTTCTCCAGACTGCATATCATACAGCTCAGTGATCAACGCATGTCATAAGAATAGCTTGTGGGCAGAGGCTTTAGATTGCTTGAAAGAACTGCAGCACAGCAGCATTTCTCCAGACAACATTGCCTACAACTCAGCCATTTCTGCCTGTGAGAAGGCCGGGTCGTGGCAGGCTGCTTTTGCACTTTTGGATGACATGTGCAAGAGGAAGCTTCCTCCAGATTTGATCACGTGTAGTGCTTTGACAAGTGCATGTGATAAGGGAGGGGAATGGGAAATGGCCATGGCAATCCTGCACCAGATGCCCAAACTTGGGGTTTTGCCATCCGTTGTGACTTTCAGCGCCCTGGTCAGTGCTTTGGGCAAGGGTGGTCAATGGAAGATTGCCATCAGCATTTTTGAAGATGCACTGTCACAAAATGTCACTCCAAATGAGGTGCTTTGTGGATCAATCATAAACACATGTGGCCAAGCAAGCCAGTGGCAAGCAGCCTTACATTTCCTTGCAGACATGTTTGTGATGAAGATCCGCCGAAATGAAGTGACTTACAACTCTGGTATTGGGGCATTGGATGGAACACAAGAGTGGCAAATCGCAGTTCATCTTCTCGAACAGATGGCGTTGGAGGTGCTCCCTGGTGTGGTCAGCTATCAAACTGCAATGAGTGTTTGTGGAAAGGCCAGCGTGTGGGCCAAAGCCATTCTTCTCCTAGACTCTGTCACGAAGAGTGCGCAAGACATGCCAGCAACTTGGACTGCTGCCATTTCAGCTTGCAGCAGTGGTTCTCAGTGGCAAGCAGCGCTACACTTGGGAGCGCAGATGCCAAAGGAGGACTTTGGATGTTGTAAGTCCTATGGCGCTGTGATGACCGCCTGTGCTCAGCAAAATCGCTGGCATTTTGTCATAGCATTGTTTAGCGAAATGCTCTCGCTAAAGTTTCCTCCTGACTGCTCTCATTTCCAGACAGCGATCAGCGCTTGCAGAAGTTGGGAGTGGATGCTTAACTTGCTCGAGAAGTCGAGGGAACAATCCTTGGAACTTGGGTTTGATACATACAACATCGTATTAATGACCCTGCGCAAGTCAGGCAAATGGGATATTGCTTTGGCTAGCCTGGAAACAATTGCTTATCCTGATGCGACTCATTATGCCAATGTCATCCTGGCAATGGGTGAGGCAAGCGAGTGGCGGCAATCACTGGCCATGATGAATGGCCACCAGCTGGATGTTCGCACAGCCAATTCGGCCATTTCTGCCTGTGAAAGAGGCAGCCAATGGAAACAGGTAGTTGGAGTGCTTCAACACATGCACACGCATCATATTGAAATGGATGCTGATTTGGCTGCAATAGTCGGACTGGACAGGTTTTTGTCTTAAAGGATCGTCTTAAATGACACATCTTCGGACGCTTGTGTAAGACTGAGATTTGTGCGTATTGCAACTTGAGGCCACCACCGTGAGTGCGGCGGCCGATGCTTGTCCCAGCTGGCAGCTGGCGATTTCTCTCTTGAATTTGGCTTTGCATGACTCCGTTCAACTAAGCATTGCTCCTTGATAATTTCAGATGTTGCTGTGTGTTGCTGTGCGTGGAGGGTTTCCGGAACGTGACTATAACAGAACTCTTCTAGATTCATCACAGCACCCTTCTATGCCAGAAATGACTTGTCTGGTTTGCAAGCTGTGCAAGCTCCACAAGCAAGGAAAGCTTCAATGCCGCTCTCAACCTTTGCCAAGACTCGTGGAGCCCTGCGCCGCAAGACAAGACCGGTATTTAGCACACAGATGAGTTTTAAGATGGTTTATATAATCAGTTGTTTTGTGGAAACTTGGGACTTTACACATCGCAGTTCCATTCTGACATGTCACGAAAGCTAGCCTCAGCTAGCTGGAGTCGCTCCGCGGCTCTTGGAGTTGGCCATGAGTTTCTCATCTCATCAAGCTGCCTCATGAACACTTTCCCATACTAATGCCACTCGTCTTCAGTTGCTGCTGCTGCTGCTGCTGGGTTTGCTCCATCCACGGTTTACAGCAACCACGGTTTACAGGAAACCACGGTTTAAAGAACAAACACGGTTTGCACCAAGCACAGTCTACACCAAGCCACAGTCTGGTTTGCACCAACCTCAGTTTACACCAGCTACGGTCTACACCAACCACAGCATATCACGAAAGGTAGCGGTTACGCTACCTGAGTTTTCCTTTTGCTTTAGCAACAATGTATTAACCCAGAGCTGCAGCCTATCTCTCGGAGAAATGGTCCCCGACATCTTCGTTTGCTGGCCGGGGGGGGGGGGGCCCCCCCCC